TGCTTTCAGTGCTGCCTGTTTTGTTACTGCACACATTTCTGATGGTCCTACAGTCCAACGTAGCAAACGTCTCCCTGAAGCCTCTTCTTAGAGACCAAAGGTTGGATCAGAGCGAGCAGCTGAAAGGACACATCTATGAATGCAGTCAGACACTTTCTCACAACCTCACACTTCATCTCATCACATTTACACTCAGGCTTAAACTCACACATTTATAACAATCTCAATGGATCAGCTGAACACACAGAGGATAACATCACTAGGTGTAACGTGTGCTGCTGTACTTTAGAAACCAAACAATGCCTGAGTTACATCTTGATATTTATTAAATAATCGCTTTCTTATTTTCAAGTGTGTGTGAAGCTGACACACATGAGCAAAAACTGTTGATTTTATTTGAAAGTTAATATGTCTATAATATTTTTTAGTTCTTCAACATATGTTTAATCAGCATGTGGCTTCTTTGTTAGTCACTGAAAATATAAACAGACTCTGGTTCTGAAAATAAATCAATATTAAAATTAATATATGATCAGATTTTCATTTGCAACAATGTGGACACCATCATGTCATCTTTGGCTCCTCCAGCTGAGACACACCTTCACAGACACACAGCCCCTCCCCTCACTAACACACTCACCTGTCTGTGTTTCTGCAGGTTTCAACATCACAATGTGACGACAACTTAATGACTGTGTTTGCTTTATTTTAGGGGAAGACACCACCACACCTCCACCTACATCCATCACTCTTCCTCCTGTTCTCTCTGTGCTGTTGCCCATTGGGTCAGTGTATGTTGTGGTTCCACTGGTGTTACTGGTTCTGCTGGTGAGACGATGTGTTCACAGGAAACTTGAAGGTTTGTACATATTCATTCTTATTCATTGTGGTATTTTGTTTCCATTCTGTCATCATAATTTGGTCCATTTAGATTCTTAAATCATAAAAGTGTTTACTTTAACTCGTTTCAGCAGATGGAGAAGATGACATCACCAGTAGCATCACATGCAGTGTTGTGAAATCATCCAATCATCAACAACCTCCAGTCAAAGAAACCAGAGAGGAAGGTTTGTGTGTTTCCTTTTTTCGCGTTTAAGACAGGAAGTAAGTAATCGGTTCAGTTTGTCTGTCAGCAGTCTGGCACACAGTCATGTTCATGTTCTGTGTGATGGAAGATACCAAGAACAAAATCATGTCAAGGTCACACCAACTGTGGAAATCAGTAAAAACAATATATTACCTGTTTTTATGGATCATCTTCAACCTTTGCAACAATACACTTGCCTTTGAGAACATGAGTACCTAGGTTGGCAAAGCATTTGACTTGAAATTCGCTGTTAGCACCAAGAACTAAGTTGACCTTGAAAAATAATTCAAGTAACCACATCGAGTAGATCCCAAAAGTGGATTCTGTTCATCTGGACGTCACTCACTCAAGTGACTTCTTCAGTCTCAGCTGACTGCAGGTTTCTCCAGCATTATAAACATAATGACTGAAACTAGCGCCACTAAATGAACAATAGGCTGTAGGCTTTGAGGTCAATTCGTTGATCGTATTTTATGCAAATTGTCATGACCATTGATCAACAACCACTGATCAATGGTCATGAGTACCAGTCACAGAGAGTTGGGGAATGGCTGCAGTCACAGCATTGTAAGATGGTGACAGATGTACCCTTAGACCCCCTCCTCGATTCAGAGATGGCCTCCTTGACTCAGCGCTCAAACCAGCATTCCTCCCTGTCCAGGATGTGCACATCCTCATCATTGAAAGAGTTTCCACTGGGCTGCAGGTGTAAATAGACTGCAGAGTCCTGGCCTGACGAGGCAGCTCTTCTGTTGTGCCATCCGCTCTAGAAGGACTTGCAGCTCTGTAGCAGGTATTTGTTGTTGAATGGTGTCACAGAACATTCAGCAGTGCTGTGACTGAGCCATAAATGTCAGAGCTCAGATGAGGCCCACACATGTGTGTTATCTGTTGTTGCTACACACAGTTAAGATATGGAACATGTGAACATGAGACATATGAAGAGACTGAACAGATAAAATGTCCTTTATATCCATCAGTGACTTTTTATTCTTTTAAACTTGT